GAAGAATGGGAGAAACCCCTCAAATACAGGTGTGTCAAGCTTGTAGCGTCATACCCAAGAAGACTCGAGGCTGTAATCGCTGCCAAATGTGCTTCAACAAAGTACTGAGGAAAGGGTCTGAATACTTATGTAAATATAATATTTCCAGGGGGGTTTTGGGATACATTTTTCACAAATTTTTCACAAACTTTGTCATTATGGGGTATTGTGTGTTGATTGATGAGAATAAGAAAAAAACGATTTAATCCATTTTAGAATAATGCTGTAACATAACAAAATGTGGAAAAAGTCAAGGGGTCTGAATACTTTCTGAATGCACTGTAGGTCTCTCCCAGCTTCGTTCCGTTTGCTTCCGTTTATGAAACATTTTGCAACAGAATTGGCGGAATGAATTCCCCCCTGCTCTCCCTCTTTCTCGCTTACTCTCTCTCTCCTCGCCTGCTCTGGCCTTCACATCTCTCTCTCAGGCAACTTGTTCGTTTGGGCTGTATTGTTCCTGTCATTGTGCCATCAGAGCTGACTCTGAGCCGTAAGATGACACATTGGCAAATTGCCTTCTACTCTCCTCTATTCTATCTCAGAGCTTACCTTATTCACCCACTCTCTCATCTCCAATTCTCTCCAGCTCTCCTTCTAAAGACACACCTGAATTAAAGCGTAGCATTATCATTACAAACGTATTTCCTGGCTGTTTCAACATACACACACTCTCATGGTCCAACGGTGTGTTTCTAGGTTCTGAACCGAATGTATTAACTGTGATTCTAGTCTTTTCATAGGAGCAGGCCTCTTGATGTTCTGAATCAGAATCACAATCTAAATGCCTTCCAGCCATTATACAGGATTGTTTTTGTCAGAACACAGACATATTGTTGAAATAACCTGTCATTGTTTCACGTTTTTTACCCATTGTATTGGCCCTGGTGGATTAGAGTTCTGTGAGCTTTCATGTCAATGAGTTGACTTCACATGTTCGTGGAGAGATAGGCTTTATTAAGTTGGATTAATTATGTATGGTAATGACCGTGTCGAGCACCTTTTTGAATTTCTACAGATGGTCTTTTCCAAGTGGATTTAAGTGGAATGCGACCAAATGAAGTGTCAAACATTCGGCCCGCGTTTCTATTTTTATTTTGGTGGGGAACAAACTCAATATACTTTAAAATGACTAAAACAAAATCTAAACTGTCTAGAAATGATATTTGGACCTACATTCATACAGTTTCTTGACTGTGTCCAGCTCGCTAATAATCACCGAAATGAAAGCTAGACAGTCAGGGAGCATCGGAAATTCCCAAAACGATGGATTTTTTGCAGCTTCTGACGGCGAGGAAATATAACACATTTTCAGTGTTGAAGACCAAATGCGGCCCCCGGTGCAAAATGAGTTTGACACCCCTGATCTAGACCTACAGAGGCAGAGAGGGAGAGGAGGAGGGGGAGAAAGGGAGAGAGAGAAATAGAGTAAAGAGAAACAAGTTAGAAATACACTATTCACCACTGACATAAGGCAGCATTGAGGAAGTACTAAACCAGATAAAGTCAGAAAAACCCAGTTCAGAATACTTTATGCCGGTTGGGTCCACATAACTGAACAAATCCTTTAGCGGTCTCTGGAGAGACTCTTTGTGTCTGAGTCGTTGATGATCATGATGACTGTGTGGTCATGCAGGTCTCTAGCTCTCCATGTCTCTTTTTTCTCTCAGTCTATTCCCCTCTCCTCTCACTTTATCTTTCACTGGTCCTCTCTCGTTCCCTTTCTCTACCACTCTCTCGCTCTCTTTCTCTCTCTCCATTTCTCACTCTGTTTGGTAGGAAATACAAATGCAGCTTTGGTCAGGGGGAAGGCAAACAAGCCTGAAGCTGTCAGCAAGTTTGAGGAGAAAAGCTCTTTCATTTGTCTCCAGTGCCCAGATTGATGCCCCTGCCAATATCTGCACGGAAATATACAGTCTCCCTCTGTGGATAAAGGCTGCTTCCCTGGATTCCCTTCCTCTGAAGTCTCTGCTCTGCTTCCGTCAGTCAATATGGTTTTGTTCCCCATTTTTACCTCCCTGGGTACAGCAGGCGGACAAGTGTAAAAAATAAGAACTTAACCGAACTTGTCCTCTTTCTTAGGGTGTTCAGATGAGCGTGTGCACTTCTCTGCCTGAGCTGTGGAATGCTGCAGTGTCAAGTGCTTTAGGGTTTCTGAAAAGTAGGAGTGAAAAGACGTTACTTTTCACTGGGGTTATTGGTCGCTCTGCGAAAAGCACTGAAGGGTAATTCACTGTGGCTGCTCTGCCTGGCCTTAAACCAGCATCAATAGGTTCTCTCTGCTTCTCTGGCTGCAGGTCAGAAATACTAATTTAAATCCTACAGAGTGGGATGGAGACAACTCAGGCAGACTCTGCTTAGAGATAAGGGTGACACATCATCATTATAAGATCCTAATCTACAAACATGGACTGCCTACATTTTATCCCCCCTACCCTATTCCCTCTATCTGCCCTCCATCCATTTCAACATTCAGATGGGCAGACCAAAATATCTTACCACAGAGAGGTGCATGCTGAGAAAGCTGGATGTCTAATGACTTTCTACCTCAGAAAGGTGACGAGGGGGAGAAAGAGAGAGAGAGAGGGAGATGAAGGAAGGAAGGAAGGAAGGAAGGAAGGAAGGAAGGGAGATAGAGGGAAGAAGAGAAAGAGACACACATAGTCAGTCCGTGACCATGGTGATGACAATGAGTCATAGAGTTCAAATAAACAGGCTTTATGTAAGGTTCTCCTTCACCTGGAGGAGAGGGGCGAGGGAGTCTGTGACTTCCCCATGGAGAGAGAGAAATAGAGGAGGATAAAATGGAGAAACAGTGTAACTGCCACATCTGACTGTGGATGTCAAAGTAGAATTCCCTATCTCCAGGCTATTACCCAGGCAGTGTGTTTGTGTTGGCCTTGTGTGGGAATGTGTCCCATACTATCAGATTCTGCTGCCTGGTCTTTATTCAGCACATTACTGTGTAACGTTTTAATTTGGAGGTTGTATTATGTTTTGTCTTTGTGGGGGATGTAGTTACAGTTTCTCAAGAGTAATATTTTATTATAAAAAGGCCTTCTACATTCTGTGAAAGGCTGCGTTGCGCTGTGTGTGTTAACCTCAGTGTGTAGGTGTTTTAAAGTAGCTTAAGTCTATGTTTTAGAGGGTTTGTTCCCACATGTCTGAGTCTTTCTATTTTACAGTGGGGAAAAAAAGTATTTAGTCAGCCACCAATTGTGCAAGTTCTCCCACTTAAAAAGATGAGAGAGGCCTGTAATTTTTATCATAGGTACACGTCAACTATGACAGACAAAATGAGAAAAAAAATCCAGAAAATCACATTGTAGGATTTTTAATGAATTTATTTGCAAATTATGGTGGAAAATAAGTATTTGGTCAATAACAAAAGTTTCTCAATACTTTGTTATATACCCTTTGTTGGCAATGACACAGGTCAAACGTTTTCTGTAAGTCTTCACAAGGTTTTCACACACTGTTGCTGGTATTTTGGCCCATTCCTCCATGCAGATCTCCTCTAGAGCAGTGATGTTTTGGGGCTGTAGCTGGGCAACACGGACTTTCAACTCCCTCCAAAGATTTTCTATGGGGTTGAGATCTGGAGACTGGCTAGGCCACTCCAGGACCTTGAAATGCTTCTTACGAAGCCACTCCTTCGTTGCCCGGGCGGTGTGTTTGGGATCATTGTCATGCTGAAAGTCCCAGCAAAGTTTCATCTTCAATGCCCTTGCTGATGGAAGGAGGTTTTCACTCAAAATCTCACGATACATGGCCCCATTAATTCTTTCCTTTACACGGATCAGTCGTCCTGGTCCCTTTGCAGAAAAACAGCCCAAAGCATGATGTTTCCACCCCCATGCTTCACAGTAGGTATGGTGTTCTTTGGATGCAACTCAGCATTCTTTGTCCTCCAAACACGACGAGTTGAGTTTTTACCAAAACGTTATATTTTGGTTTCATCTGACCATTTGACATTCTCCCAATCCTCTTCTGGATCATCCAAATGCACTCTAGCAAACTTCAGACGGGCTTGGACATGTACTGGCTTAAGCAGGGGGACACGTCTGGCACTGCAGGATTTGAGTCCCTGGCGGCGTAGTGTGTTACTGATGGTAGGCTTTGTTACTTTGGTCCCAGCTCTCTGCAGATCATTCACTAGGTCCCCCCGTGTGGTTCTGGGATTTTTGCTCACCGTTCTTGTGATCATTTTGACCCCACGGGGTGAGATCTTGCGTGGAGCCCCAGATCGAGGGAGATTATCAGTGGTCTTGTATGTCTTCCATTTCCTAATAATTGCTCCCACAGTTGATTTCTTCAAACCAAGTTGCTTACCTATTGCAAATTCAGTCTTCCCAGCCTGGTGCAGGTCTACAATTTTGTTTCTGGTGTCCTTTGACAGCTCTTTGGTCTTGGCCATAGTGGAGTTTGGAGTGTGACTGTTTGAGGTTGTGGACAGGTGTCTTTTATACTGATAACAAGTTCAAACAGGTGCCATTAATACAGGTAACGAGTGGAGGACAGAGGAGCCTCTTAAAGAAGAAGTTACAGGTCTGTGAGAGCCAGAAATCTTGCTTGTTTGTAGGTGACCAAATACTTATTTTCCACCATAATTTGCAAATAAATTCATAAAAAATCCTACTTGCACAATTGGTGGCTGACTAAATACTTTTTTTCCCCACTGTATGTGTTTTGGTCACCTCATAAGAAGCCTTTAGTGGATATCATTACCGAACAATTCTGTTAAAAACTTCACAATGCCACTGCAAATGCATTTTACAACCAATACCAATTCCATAAAAACTAATCTGTGTTAAAAGTCTCACATACTGTATATTGTGTAACTGGTATTCCCATTACAAGACAGGCTTGTGTAATCAGTGTTTAATTCCCCTGTAAAAAACAACAACAACAAAAAACTATTTTTTCCAGAGTTCATAGTTCTCTCTGTATCCCCCCCTACAGACTACTGGTGGCCCCTGCCCTCTGACCTGTGCCCTATCTGGATCTACCTGGATGTGCTGTTCTCCACAGCCTCCATCATGCACTTGTGTGCCATCTCTCTGGACCGCTACATCGCCATCAGGAACCCCCTCCACCACAGCCGCTTCAACTCCCAAACCAAGGCCCGCCTCAAGATCATGGCTGTCTGGACCATCTCTGTGGGTAAGGGGCAGGAAGAAAAGCCTGCACAAGTATATGCTACTCCCTTGAGAGAGAGAGAGAGAGAGAGAGAGAGAGAGAGAGAGAGAGAGAGAGATCATATGCGAGAGAGAAAGAGATCATGAGAGAAAGAGAGATCATATGAAAGAGATCATGAGAGAGAGAGATCATGAATATGAGAGAGAGGTCATATGAGAGATAGATAATGAGAGAGATCACGAGAGAGATCATGAGAGAAAGAAAGATCATATGAGAGAGATCATGAGAGAGATCATGAGAGAAAGAGAGATCATATGAGAGAGGTCATATGCGAGAGAGAAAGAGATCATGAGAGAGAGAGAGAGAGAGAGAGAGAGAGAGAGAGAGAGAGAGAGAGAGAGAGAGAGAGAGAGAGAGAGAGATCATATGCGAGAGAGAAAGAGATCATGAGAGAAAGAGAGATCATATGAAAATCTATGAATATGAGAGAGAGGTCATATGAGAGATAGTAATGAGAGAGATCACGAGAGAGATCATGAGAGAAAGAAAAGATCATATGAGAGAGATCATGCGAGAAAAGAGAGATCATATGAGAGGGTCATATGCGAGAGAGAAAGAGATCATGAGAGGAGTGGGAGAGAGAGAGAGATATGGAGAGAGAGAGAGAGAGAGAGAGAGAGAGAGAGAGAGTACAGAGCGAGAGAGAGAGAGAGAGAGAGAGAGAGAGAGAGAGAGAGAGAGAGAGAGAGAGAGAGAAAGAGACCTTGTGTGTGTATTTGTTATTATAAAGTGTGGTCATGGGGGGGGGGGGTATATTTAGAAACGAGTCTTTGTAAAATGCCAGAAACAAGTCTTTGTAAAACGCCCCCACATTGTACCGTTGGATAGGGGCAAGGCACCAGGCGCCATGGGGAGAGAGCGAAAGAGGGAGGGAGGCAGTGAATGAGGGAATGAAAGAAGGAGAATGACTCGTAAGCAGCTGTCATTTCAGTTTCAAGGTCTATATTATTTAGTGTAAAAGCCAAGGCGACTGAACAATCAGAACTTTATAATGGCCTAGTTGATATCCAGCTGATCAAGTAAATGGCCTAGCATGAAAAGGAAATGATTGCGCCACTAATGCAGTCTGGTACATCAAGCCGTCAGACTTAGCTCCATACAGAACAGTACATGTGTCATTTATGCTGAGTGAGAGCCAGCACACCCAACTATTTATGTCTCGAAGTTGAAGCTGCTGCTAAAATGAGACATGCCCTGCTGTAGGCAAATAACCAGACGTAAATGTGTTTATAATTTAAGATTATTAGAGGGTCGATCAGATCTCATCATAAAAACAGCCTGTCAGACTTGTGTGGCTCCTTTCCATTGCTTCAAACCAATGTCTCAATACCACCACCAATGATCCAGTCATGCTAGTTAATACCACCACTAATGATCCAGTCATGCTGTGTAGAGACCCAGGTATGCAGGGAGAGACATTGTCATATAGAACCAGGGAAGCAGAAAGAGACATCACACAACTTGGGGAGGAATTAACTCCTGATATGACTCACCAATCCACAGGTTCCAGGCCCTAGGCGTAAAGCTAGCATATGATACGCTGCTGCCTGCAAATTAAATAAGATTATGTCACTAGTGCTTATCTTCATGTTATGTATCATCCCCCTCTCCTCTCATCCTCATCCCCCTCTCCTCTCATCCATCTGTACACGAGAGAGAGAGAGAGCGCGAGGAGAGAGAGAGAGAAGCTTAAGTTTAGCTGATGGTACACAGAACTGAGATGATGTATGCTGTTAAACAAACCTTGGAACACAGTGCTGCTACTGCCCAGCCTATTGTACAAGACTCCTACCACAGGGAAAGATCGCTGAAGACCATACAAAATCCCACCCATACACAGAACACATGTACACACCTCATCCTGTACAATGAATGTGTGCACTCATGTACACACATTGTTAGTGCGCAAAGTCACACACTCACACCGACACACACCTCAAACCGCCATGACCAAGGAAAGTTCCTGGGCCATGATCAGGATGTAATAAACATTTCATATCAACCAATAATTTTTGTAAGACCGCATAGCTCAATTAAATAATAATACTCTTTGGTTTTTGTAACCAGCAGTCTTCTCTTTCCATTGAATCATTGAATCCTACATCTTCCTGTATTTTTGTCATGTTGTGATGTGTCTCAGTGCTGACAGACAGAGGATGGAGGTCTTCCCCAGAGCTATATCTCTCTCTTCAGAAACACTGGGGAATAGTTTCCTAGAGCAAAGAAACACACAATTACCAAAGACGTAACAATGTACACGTTGGCATCAGCAGTTCAATGTCAATGTAAATGCCTCAGAAAGATTTTGTGCAAACATGGAGGGATAATTAGCTGAGCTGTGTTTATTGGAGTACGAGCAAATTGCTCCTACAGAGCAGAGATACTTACCTAAGGTCAGTTTAGCATTTCCTCTTCCTGAGGTTAAGCGCAAGTTTTGGGAAGGATGAACTGATCCTAGGTCTGTGTCTAGTGTGATCTCCAACCCGGAGCTCTGTGTATCTGTGGCTCTGGTGTTGATGTGTTAGTGTGGAAACATGGCAGAGATGGTTGAGATGTCTGGATCAGGTATGTGTTCTTTGGCCTGTCTCCAACTGCTGGGCCAGGGGGTGCTGCTGCTGCTCTGCTTTACAGAAACCACTGAACACACACCCAGGGCAACGTGAAGCTAGTCCAAACAACCTATAATACTAAGGAAGAATGAAGTAAAGATACAGGAACATAAACAAAGGATTACATGAAGAAATGTTGGACTTGAGTCATATGATTGATTCAGGGTTCCATGGCCATCTGGATAGCAAAAGATTGTCTTGACTATTTCAACTGCTTTCACATCCCAACCCACACACAAGAAGAAATCTCTTTCTGAACTTGCTAATGCTCTTGACGAAATTGCATTTCAAGTTTCAAGTTGGTCTTGGTTCAACCTTTAAAGCTGCCCTGGATTTCAACAAAACCAGTAGATACAGACAAACAAACTATTTTTCTAAGCCAGCCAAATATAGTGGTTAAGAAAATATCAACTCAAAGAAAAACTCCACCTTTCTCTCTCCAAGCCCCTCTATCTTTAGAGGAAGGAGATTGTCAGGGGGAAGAGAAACAGACAAAACGTATATTTAATTTCTGAATTCTGCAGGCGTGTTGATTGATGTTTGATTGACAGTTCTGTAGTAAAATGTTGATAAAACGAGGGACTATTTAATTCCTTCAGATCAAGATGCCAGACCAGACAGAACTGGGGAAATAGGCTAATGTCCTTGCAAATTTGAGGTCATAAATCATTGAATCTGTACCCAAGCCTAAAGTGATGTGATCTTAATTGGAGCTGGTTCTGGCAACCTTCCCCGTCTATTTTCCTGCTCTAAGCCCCAAAATGGCCGACAGTGTCAGGCCAGTTGCACTCCCTCCCTGAGGTTATTAGTCTTTGCCTCTCACTGTGTTGCAATGGGGATGAAACCCATAGTGAATGGCTCCAGATGCTTCTGTCCCTCTCCCTCACAAATCCAGTTATTGGCCACTAATGACACTAATGCTGGGTCTGTGAGGGGAAATGGCAGGGTTTATCTGTCCTGGTGGGCACACAATATTGATATGAGGACTATTGCATTATTGATGCAAGAGGATCCTGCCCTGGTGGATTGATTTACGGTGGGAATGAGCAACAGGTGTGCTATGCCTGTAGAACGATGTGTACATTATAGATGTGTACATTATAGAGCCAGACATTTTGATATTACTGGCACAATCTTGAAGCACCACAGTGCTATTTACCGTTTAGGCAGAGACAAGCTGTACAAAATTGCTTTTACTTTTTCAATTTGAAATCTTAAATAAGAGGTGACACACACACGCATGCACCCACCCACCCACCCACACACACACTAAACTAACCTCTCTCTCCTCTGTCTTTCTGTAGGTATCTCCATGCCCATCCCCGTCCTAGGCCTGCGGGACCACACCAAGGTGTTTAAAGATGGCAGCTGCCTGCTGACAGATGACAGTTTTGTCCTGGTGGGCTCCTTCGTGGCCTTCTTCATCCCCCTCACCATCATGGTGGTCACCTACTTCCTCACCATCAGCGCCCTGCAGAACGAGGCTACCCTCTGTCTGGACCAGCTGGTGCCCCGGCCCAAGAGGATCGCCACCCTGACCCTGGGCTTCCTCCCGCAGGGCTCACTCTCCTCAGAGAAGCTCTTCTTCAGGCGTTCGCTCAGCCGTGACACGGGAGGGGTAGGAGGAGGGGTCGGCGGGGCCGGGGTGGACCCGCGGTACGGGCGTCGCACCATGCAGTCAATCAGCAACGAGCAGAAGGCCTCCAAGGTCCTGGGCATGGTCTTCTTCCTGTTCGTGGTCATGTGGTGTCCCTTCTTCATCACCAATGTTCTGGCGGTGGTGTGCGACCCTGTGAACTGTGATCCGGGGGTGATGGGGGGGCTGCTGAATGTGTTTGTGTGGGTGGGATACCTCTCCTCAGCCGTCAACCCTCTGGTGTACACTCTGTTCAACAAGACGTACCGTGCAGCCTTCTCCCGCTACATACGCTGCCAGTACAGCCCGGAGAGGAAGCCTCTGCAGCTCATACTGGTTAACACCATCCCTCCGCTGGCCTACAACTCCACCCACCTGCCCCTGGAGGAAATGGGGTCCCTCAGGAATGGGGTCCACAGCAGTGGAGGACCCAGGGACTCCCTACGAAATCTTGTGAAGACCAAATCAAACTCAGACAAAGACAAGGCAACCAGGGACAAAGATGAGAGCATCAGCTGTGTGTGAGGCTGTGATCCTGTAAGGTCTCAATCTCCCATAATCCTAGTGGAATGTGCTGGTTTTTATTAGATTTCCCATCTTGATCTCGTTTTGGGAGGAAAACACTGGGAACAGGTGTTCCTATGCTGGAGCATGCCCAGTAGCTCCATGGTGAGACTCATGCTGCCAGGAAACAGGGAAATAGGAAACAGGAAGTACCGAGAGAGGAGGGACAATACCTGCCTCACAAACACTTAAACTAGTAACACCAGAATAGAACAACTGAGCTAATGCTATATTATCAGCAACAGCCAGGGGGCACGAGGAGATGAGTTCCCCCCCCAGAAAAATCTATATTTGTGTATACATTGTGCACATACGTAAATTAATACCTGTATGTTCTGTTTTTGTTGTCATTAACCAAAGAGACAGAGCTATCTTGTGATCTTGTGTTTTCCTTGACGTAGTATTAAAATACAGAAATGTGTAATGGTGGGATGTAGGCTAATAAAGATATGTTGAGGGATTCCTAGGCATAGCACAATGGACTAAACGACCTTACTTTTAAAGGCATGGGACTCATTTGAACTAAGTGTTGTTGTACCTACAGTATGATTGATGTGATCTGTTGTTATAACCCCTCCCTCTTATTCATGGAGAACCCACCATCGCCACTTTACTACGAGGTCCTCTGAACTCAACCCTAGGTTTTTTTTTTAACTTACAAAAAAATATATCTTCAATATAATGTTGATGTTGCCTGGGTAATCACTTCTAACTCCAGCGGAAAGAGTTTTGTGTTATTTGATGGAGTCTATTGTGGCATCGAAATTACCATGGTGACAGCCAACATACAATTTTTTTCTTGACACAAATGAAATTATTTCTGTTTTTGATCAAAGTAAAATTGAAGCCTTTATGAGTGTGTGGTAGTCATTTTCTTAGTGCGTATGTCTGACTGGTAAAAGCAGACCTATTTTTTAACTGCAGACCAAGGAGAAGCAAAGTTTTTAAGTGTTAGGGCAAAGTTAATTTTCTTCACATAAAAACTAACGGGTAACACTTTTAATAATAAACCATTTATAAGGCATTTATAAACCAGTTATAAGGCATTACAAACCATTTAAGGCATTTACAAAAAGTATGCTCACCATTTATTAATCATTACACCCACATTTGTCAATCTTAGTAAGCTAATTGTTCACAAATGTATATATATTTCCTTAAACATCCTGTGTTGTGTGTTTATTCTTTTACCAGGTACTGCAGGAATGTCTACCAATGGCATGCCCATCTTTTTGTGAGAAGCTTTAACCTGATCTCATAGTTTCAATTACACTGGTCACTCAAAACATGTATAACGTATTTATCAAGCATAAATAGCGCTCACTTTAGATTAGGGGCTGCAACAATACTTTACTGATGATTAGTAAATGGCGTAAATGTAAATGTAAATGACGTAAATGTAAATGTTTATAAACGTGGGAGTAATGATTAATAAATGGTGAACACACACTTAATAAATGGTTTATTACAGAACCTTAATATAAAGTGTCACCAAACTAACATCTCATTTAGGATGTACCCGTACCCTTACCCTAACCCTAACCTTAAACTGAAAACCTAACCTTAACCCTAAACCTAACTCCTAACCCTAAAACTAACCCTAGCTCCTAACCCTAAACCCCCTAGAAATATAATTTGACCTTGTGGGGACTAGCATAATGTCCCCAGTTGGTCAAATTTTTGTTAGTTCTCTATTCTTGAGGGGACTTCTGGTCCCCACAAGTATAGTTAAATACGTTCACACACACACACACACACACACACACACCCACACACTCACAATTACCCATCTCTTAACCCACCTTTCATGCTCCCCGATCCTTCTTCATTGAAGTTACCCCACTCACCACTACATTATTCACAAAGGCTGTCATCCTGATCATTATAACTTCTTCACCATTTAACAACATACAGTACCTGGATGATTCACCAACAAGACGTAAGAACAGGTCATTCGCCATCAAGAAAATAGCAAATGTCCCAAATGTCACTGGGATCATTAGTATATTCTCACAGGGACATAAAAAGCCAAAAAATTGCCCAATCAGCATAACTTAAAACCCAACATAAGTACATAATAGATACATTATAGTTACAACATAAAGACCATTCCCAGCCTGGAGACTGTGGTCAGATTCTCCTCCCTCTCTTACATCATAAAATGACAAAGTCACCTATGGTAATGTCATGAGGAATAGAGGATAGAGCTGCAGGGGTTTCATTAAGGTCACATTCATTAAAGAATTCCTCTGGAATCCCTTCAGAGCTGGGTTTGGGAGAAGGGATGAATTAATTCAAAATATGAGGAAAGAGGGAAGGAGGGAGGTAGGAAGGGAGAAGGACAGAGGAGATAGGCACCTATTCCATTCTCCATGGTTTCTTTTAGGGACTGAGCTTGTGTCAGTCTATGAAATTATTAAGTGAGAGATAGAGTGGGACTGAATAATGGGGAGAAAGGAGCGTAGGAGACCCAAAGAAACTGAAAGGGGATAAAAGAGAGGCATAGAGGGAAGAGAGAGAGAGAGAGAGAGAGAGAGAGAGAGAGAGAGAGAGAGAGAGAGAGAGAGAGAGAGAGAGAGAGAGAGAGAGAGAGAGAGAGAGAGAGAGAGAGAGAGAGGGAGAGAGACATGCTTTTAAAGTACTGGCTACAGTGACCCTAGTTTCAATCATAAAGGTGAACAGGTGATGGGTTTTTTAACAAGGCTGAGGTGTTTATCCTTTACTTCAACAAGCCTTTGAAAATGTTCTCACAGAAGAGGAATGATTACCGTTTCTATCAAGGGCTTTAATCTCTAATTAATCTCATTCAAGCTGTTTTCCTGAAAACAGTTTTTGTGTATTTGGCTGATTTTCACAGCAGCAGAGCAGTTTAATCGATTCCTTTTAATCGCTCGCTATATACAAATGACTCATATTTGATATCAATTAAAGTGAAAACATAGTAAAATGGAAAATAAATAGGGATATAAAGTGCTTGGAGGGGGGATTCATATTAGAATAGATTTTATACTGAAAAAATATCAATATGCATTTTAATACACATCCATGAACGGTGTTATATCTCAGCAATGAGATACTGTATAACTGAAAAACAGAGTGGGATTTCAAACAGCCTTATTTCAACCAAAACATTTCAGACCAGATTCATAGTTGTGACATTTACATTATCGGTAGGAATTTCAATCACCTGGTACTCTCTATATTCACTTCGCACTCTCTACGCACGGCACATCTAGTATCTTGAGTTCCACGGCTGTCATAATAAGAACAATTTAATACCCACTTCACTCTCTGGCCTATCGCAGTCATTGACCGGCAGTCAAACATCATGAAGTGGTTATGAGGCACAAAGTGAGGTACATAGTGAGGCACACAGTGGTTATGAGGCACAAGTGTGTGCCTTCATTCGGAGAAACTATCTGGCTCTGTAAATACTATATGACTGAGCTGTCTTAAACCTGATGGTTCGCAGATAAAGGCACAGCATCTCAATGTGGCAACAACCAATGAAGTCATTGTCAGTGGAGTGTATTCATGGAGGGCAAAGGAAGCCAGTCTTCCCCAATAAATGTACCAATAATTTTTTTGAAATAATGTATCTTTCGTCTCTCTGTGGTTTCATAATTTTCCTTCAATTCACAAAAGGCTGAATGTATCTCACCGGAGAAGTAATCCGATCGAGTGAAACAGTCCCTCGACTTCTTGGCGCTGACAGAAACATGGATTACCACTGAAAACACTGCTACTCCTACTGCTCTCTCCTCGTCTGACCATGTGTTCTCGCATACCCCGAGAGCATCTGGTCAGCGGGGTGGTGGCACAGGAATCCTCATCTCTCCCAAGTGGACATTCCCTCTTTTTCCCCTGACCCATCTGTCTATCTCCTTATTTTAATTCCATGCTGTCACAGTCACTAGCCCATTCAAGCTTAACATCCTTGTCATTTATCGCCCTCCAGGTTCCCTTGGAGAGTTCATCAATGAGCTTGACGCCTTGATGTCACGATCGTCGTAATAAGTGGACCAAGGCGCAGCGTGATATGCGTACATACTTTTAATAGTACTTAATACACGATACAACAAAACAACAAAACGAAACGTGAAGTCCTCGGTTAACAAACACAAACCTACACGGAACAAGATCCCACAAATGACAAGTGCACAACAGGCTGCCTAAGTATGGTTCCCAATCAGAGACAACAAGACACAGCTGCCTCCGTTTGGGAACCACCCCGGCCAACACAGAAACACACGATCTAGAAAAGAACACATAGAAAACAAAACATAGACACTACACATATAAACTAACACCCTGGCTCAACATATAAGAGTCCCCAGAGCCAGGGCGTGACAGTACCCCCCCCCCCCCCCCCCCCCCCCCAAAGGCGCGGACTGCGACCGCGGCAACTAAACCCAACAGGGGAGGGGCCGGGTGGGCATTCCGCCTCGGAGGCGGATCCGGCTCCGGGCGTGACCACCACTCTCTAACTACCCCCCCGTAGCGCCCCTGGTCTGGTCCCGCTGGCTGGAGCTGGACTGGACATCGGTGGAGCGGATTGCTTAGGCTCCGGTGTGGAGCAGCTGACCGGTACCTGATAAGGCACTGGTGAAACAGGCACGGGCTGTGCCGGACTGATGCCGCGCACCACTGGCTTGGTGCGGGGAGCAGGAATGGGCCGGACCGGGCTGACGACGCGCACCACTGGCTTGGTGCGAGGAGCAGGAACGGGCCGGACCGGGCTGACGACGCGCACCACTGGCTTGGTGCGGGGAGCAGGAACGGGCCGGACCGGGCTGACAACGCGCACCACTGGCTTGGTGCGGGGAGCAGGAACAGGCCGGACCGGGCTTGCGACGCGCACCCCTGGCTTGGTGCGAGGGGCAGGAACAGGCCGGGCCGGGCTGGCGACGCGCACCACAGGCTTGGTGCGAGGGACAGGAACAGGCCGGACCGGGCTGGCG